CGGTTACACCTACCATTCGCACGGAGACACTGCTGCGCAGTTGACGAAAATATACTGCCCGCTTATATATATGAATCCTTGCGGCTTCGACATGTGCAGCGTTAGCACATTTCCTGGATAACCGCCACCTTCGAAAAGAAAAAAAGAAACATAAATATGATGTCATAATTATTTAAATATGATGTCATAATTATTTACATATATACGATGAAGTATTAATGCTCGTATTTCGGGATTGTACCTTTAAGATCTTGACAGCTTTGATGCTCGATCGGAATGCCCTAATCAATCGTTCTCCGGCGTAAAGTATTACAGGAGCAGCTAAATACATCCATGTCTGAAAATATTCATGCACAAGTATTATTATTATTAAACAAAATATACTAAATTAGGACAAGGAAAAAAAAAAAAGAGAAAACGAACCGTTTTCTTGTACCACTCGTGGGTCAAGTAAATCTTGATACCGTGAATAACGAGGAGAGTGTAAACAATGACGAACAAATGGTGCGAATACCAAAACGCGTTGAACCCGGTGAGTTTGTCCAAGGGTTTCGGTAGGTTGACTCGGTTCCTTCTAAACCAAGGGGAGGCGAGTGTGAACGCAATTGCCATTAGGACAACCATTATAATGCCGGTGACACCTGCCCAACCCTTAACGAACCACCAATAGCTCGATGGTTGGTCCTCGCCGAAGAATTGCTCCATTGGCTCGTACGCGTCTTCGCTCGCGTTTAATATTCGAGGGAAATCGCACGCCAAATGGCTAATCGCGTGTATTCCCACCGCCAACGCAATTGCCACCGCAATCACCTATTAAAAAGTGTTCGATTTGATTAATTGTAGAAATAACATTAGACTAGCACGATTTGTTCCAATACAAAAACTAAGGCTCCGTTTGGATCAACGAAAATCAATTCGGATCACCATTTTAAAATTCTCTACTTTACCATTTTCATTTTTGTCCATTTCGAAAACTCCCACGAACCAAAAACAAACAAGAACCCCAAGTAAAAGACAAAAGGGAAAAAAAAAAAGTCGAGACATACTTTGTGGAAATTAAGGTTGTCGTCGAACGGAACGGCGACACCAAGCCTGGTCTTGTTCCTAAGCCAGGTGATCGTGTTCCGACAAACGGGCAGCAAAATAATTGCCATGTTCAGCTTCAGAGTTTCGGCGGCGCCTTTAGCCATGCACACGCAATGGCCCATAACCTCGTAAACCGCTCGATTCTTGTACTGAATGTACTTGTACGTAAAAAGACCAGCCATCACGCCGATCCATAACGCCATCACCCAAACCCTCTGCCAGTTGTCCTGCACAAAGTAATTGAAATCTCTGTACTTTCGTTGTACGATGTTTGCTTGAGTCGGCTTCAGCTTTTCGCTCAGCATTTTGCTTAGGTTTCGGCTCTCGCCACCTACTCTTATCGATTGGCTCGGCCCTTGTAGTAACAGCATCTCCAAATTCTCTATCTGTTTTTTCGAAGAAAATTACTATTATTGTTTGTCGAATATTTGGAATAATCTTGTATTTTTTTTAATTAATTACCATAATGTAACCAAGTTCGTTCGGGTCTAGTTCCTCCATGATTAACCTCGCGTACTCGTCTGCTTGCTTCTGAATATTGGACAGCTTGTTTGCTGAAGCACTTAATGTAATAATCTGTAAAAAAGAAAACGATAAAAATCCGTCCTTTAATCGGTACTTATGCATTATATTATCCCACTAACAATCTGCAATTAAACAATAAAAATCCATTCATTTATCGGTACTTATGCATAATATTATCCTGCTAATAATCTGCAATTCAACGATAAAAATCCGTTCTTTAATACAATTGCATGATCTTGTTCCATGAATTACGCATAATCACACACACACACATGTCATGTGTGTGCGCTTAGTGGTCAGTTATTTAATCAAATATACGATTCAAATCCACCCGATGTAAATAATAACCAGTCGTAATTTTCGTATTTTCAGACAATGAAAAAGTCAATCTTTAAGCCCCATACATTGATAGAAAATAGTTTAATAAATTTTCAATTTGGAAATTGAATATATATATATATATATATATATATATATATATATATATATATATATATATATATAACACCATACCTCTTTGACTTCCTCCTCCGTGATTCTGCCATCGGCATCTTTATCAACCCTGCACCGACACAAGAATCATCAAAACGACGTCGTATATATGCAGTTATAAATGTTTAATCAAGATTAATGATTGATTGGTTCTTACATGTCAAAGAATGTTTGAAGCCGACAATCGAAGCTTTGATCGGAGATTTGGTCCCAGAACTCCTTCAGATGAGCTTTGGTGATGGAGCCGCCGGAGATGTTCCTCCGCCGCGCGAGGGCGTCGAAGAGCTCGCCGGCGAACTCCTTGGACTCCTTGTTCATGCCAATGCACTCGCCGAAGAGGGCGCGTGGGAGGAGGCCGTTGGTGGCGGCGGTGAGGTCGTTGAACCGCTTCTCCACCCCAGCCCAGGCGGCCCCGCCGTCCGTCTTGCTGATGAACTTGAGCCCCTTGAGCGCGTGGGCCGCCGCGGACTTGGTCCGGTCAAATCTCCCCGGCGGGTGGGGGCGGCGCGTGAGGGAGGCGAGGCGCTTGAGCTCCTGCGACACCTGCTTAATCCTTGACGAAGCATTTCTGACGACGGAGGATCCGAAGGAGGACTTCTTCTCGAGGCCCCTGGCGAGCAGCGCCAGCTCCGGGTCCTCCACCTCGCCGCCGCCGGCGGTCTTGACGCTGTGCACCGCGACGGAGTCCTCCCTCACGTCGAGGGTGATCTCCACGTAGTCGTCGGCGTCGGCGGAGGAGTTTCTGTTCGAGCTCTCCGGGATGTTGAACCGGGCGCTCTTCTTTCCGGGCCGCTTGTTCAGCGGGCCGCTGTACGAGGTTCTGTCGCCGACCACCTCCGAGTCGGAGTTGTGGTTGTCCGAATTCTGCATTTTAGACTGTGTATACAAAAACAGTATATATATATATATATCTACACACACACACACACACACACACTTATATCTTCACCCAAACACCGAGAATTAAAAGAAAAAAATCAAGAAAAAAAATGAAATTATATTTCTGACAAAAGTTCAAATCTGCTTCTGCAACTTATACATAGCTGCTGATATAAACAAAAATGGGTTTCTCTCTCTTCTTTCTCTCTCTACTCTCTCTCTCCTGTTTTATTGTTGTTACAAAGTCTTTAGTGTAAGAAAATTGAGGGGGATAGAAGTTTATATATAAGAAAAAAATATATATATATATTGTGTGGATATATATATATTGTATAGTTGTGTGAAGGGGTGAGCTGGTTTGACCAAGCAGTTTTGATTGTGTCTTGTTTGCTGCTGCTGCAAGATTTGTGCATGTAATCAATATTATTATTCACTTATTCATATTATTCTAACCTCTTCCTTTTGTTTTTATTTGACCATTTTTTTATATAATAGGTCCAAACGTTGATTGATCTGCATCAACCTCGTTTGGTTGTTAAGATAAGAATATCGGATTTTTTATGATGTTCAGCGAAAAAACTACCTGAAAGATAAAATAACATGTGTTAACATATATAATATTTGCGGGTCGATCCGTTTAGTTATTGGGAATATCAAATAAAAGTCCAATTACATAGTTAATCATGGCTGAAGTTCTCAACCAAACGAGGCTTAAGTAGACTCGAAAGTAAATTGGTATTGCATTGTACACACATGTGAATGCTGAGTTCCATTATTTAAAAAAAAAATCTACCCTAACAGATTTTAAATCTAAAATATGTACATTTAAGTAATCGCCATATTATTGGCAATATTGTTTATTGTTATTATATTTACATTTATGTATAATTAATAATGTTCTGGGAATTTGTATTTACTTGTGTGTATTTGACTATTTTCAGTAATCACTAATTAATACTGGGAACTGTGAAGAAATGCCTTAGAAACTTCTAACAACCTGCTCAAGTGTCTTAAACAGCTTGCTTAATGTGAAATGTTTTATTAGTACTATTTAACACGGTAAAATAACTCAATTAATTAAGTTTTTCTTTTTACTATTAGTAATTACGGTTAATTATGGGCACCCTAATGTAAGATTAAATAACTTACAACCCCATGTAGTGTTGATAATTACAAATACATCTTGAGTTATTTCTTCATCTTACAACAACCCCCTACGGAGTTCTGCATAACTGAATCTTAAAGATTCCATGGAATATTCATTATGAATTTTCAAATCTACCCCAGAGGCACCAGTAATTTATCCATAGTTTTTCTGTTTAATAAAAGGGTAGTTTAGACAATTCATTCATTCCGTTCTAGTTTATAACAGACTATTAGTTTTAAAGGTAATTTACCGTAGTAATTATTTTCTTTTAGTGCAGCACAACCAATAATTGGTTGGATTTGTTGTGTTATTTTTATGTTGTAATAAACAACACATGGCCTATTTAGGTAAAAATGTGTTAGTGTGTGGACAAAAAGATTGTCACAAAAACAAGTGTACTGATAAAAAACGCGTGGTCTATAATATATGCGCCGATTTGGTCTGAATTTTATTATTGATTGGTTAAATATATATGCATGTGAATGGACTATTTTTAGTCCATAGCTAATTAATAGCTGTTAGCCAGATACTCCCTCCGTCTCAATTTAAATGACGTTTTGGGTTGTTGCACACATATTAAGAAAATCAATAAATGCGTATAGATTATAGTGAAAAGCATAGGAAAATACTAATATATCCTTGACAGTAATTATTTTACAACTAACTAATTATGAGTGATAAAGGGTAAAATTGAAAATAATGCAATTAATGATGCATTGAAAATCTAAAATGACAAATAATTTGGGACAAAAAAAACTCTCTAAAAAACATATAATATGGGACAGAGGGAATTATGTCCACCCCTTAGGTAATATCTAATTACGAAAGAAACCCTCATGTTTGGAAAATTACCACCACCTCCCTTAACTATGAATTTTGGTACATATACACCCTTATGGTGTCAAATTTCGGGGAGTCTTAGAAAATATGTGGAATATTCTCCAGTATGTACCCGTTTTAAACTCATTCGAGCTCCACATTTTGAATCAAGATGATTATAAGATATGTCTCTTGGCTTGTAGATATCAGATTGTGGTGCATCAAAAACTGCATTTTTTCACAAAACGAGTACAAACTAAATAACATTTCACGGAATCTAGAATGGTAAATTACAATTTTACCCTCTATTTTTCGTATTTCAATTGAGTTCTATTCGTTCTTTACTAGACCAATTATTTTTGGTCCCTCTTCACTTTTAAGTTTTTGTGTCAAGGGATCAATTGTATTTTAATTCAACAATTTTGATTTTTGCAAGGTTTTAATTGAATATCTAGATAATGGTGGGCTTACGATGTTAAAAAAGTAAAATGTTGAGTGGGACTGTCACTCAGCTGCCTAACTCAGTGGCTTCACTAATCATTTTATCCACAATGTTAATACTTAAATAAATTATCGTAATTATTTAATTTCCACTCAGATCTAAATGAGCTGACTCGGCTCGTGAGCTAGCTAGGTGAGCCGACTTGAACTCGACTCGAGTTTTCAAGTTTGAACTCTCTGAAGAGTCGAGCCCGAGCTTATTCTTAATTATTCTTAAGTCCATCAGACTGCTCGCAAGTTTTTTTTTTTTTTGTTATAAATAAAATTAATAACAAGTTGTTATAAATAATCAAAAGACAAATTGCAGTTGATCATTACCAATTTGTAATTTTTTTCATTATAATTTATAATAATAAAAAAATACATCAAATGAGCTCAAACTCGAACTCAAATTCAAAATATAAAACACGAAGCGCTGAAGCTCGACCTCACTAAAACAGCCAAACTCGAGCTCGACTCGTTTACTAACCCCTATTAAAGTTTAGCTAATCAACATCTGCTAAAGTTAATTGTGATGTATGCAAAAGCTTTTGAGAAAGATATACGCGACATTTATGTCAATACAAAAAAGAACAAAAACGTGTCCACTATCAAATGATTAATTAAGTTAATCCATTAGATTATCAAAATTAGTAGTTTAATTTGAATCTTTGACTAATGATTAAGATTTTTATTTTCAAATACTGGATTTCCCACGTTAATTTTAATCATGAAATGTGGTTTTGTAAGTCATTCGTTTAGATTACTATGAATATATCGTCTGGAAAAAAAAATTTATTGCCATGTCGATTTTATACAAGTCATTTCAATTACTGTTTTATTCAAGAAAAGTCTAATTTTGCTGCCCAATTCTTTTATTTTTAATTATTACAAGAGAATATGTTGTTACTCTAAGTAAGCTGAGAAACTCCGTCCTCGTACAACAGCTTGTAAATTGTACGAAAAATGCAAATCACACTATTTTTAGACGCATGTGTCCCAATCTCGTAATAATTTACAGAACATATATATTTTCTTAAAAATATTTTTATTATTACAATATATCATGCACTTGAATATATATGATTTGTTGAAATATAATTGTCATTTGATTAATTGTTTAAAATTAAATAGTTCATCATCTAGGTACATATTAACAACTAATAATTCACATAATGTATATCTAACAATATAATAATTATTCTTTCAACCATTATTTGATTTTTAGTATACATAATTATCATCCAATAATTAGTTTTTTGTACTGTTATTATATGAACTTTAAATTAATATTGCAATAACTTAACGAATATAAAATTTCTTGTTATAATTTAGTGACCACCAAAAGACCATCACTAAATTTTTTTTGTTAACTTGTAGCGAGGTTTGATTAATGAACACACGCTTTCTTAATCATTTAATTAATATTAATATAATCTTAAACAAGCAAATTTGTGCTAAATTAACAAGCACTTGATTTTAATTAACAATTATTATGATTATTAGATTAATTTGTAGAAGCAGCTGTATGTATACATGACAGTGACACACAATTGAGACGAATAATAGGTAGTTATGAATGAGATGTGAAAACACAAGTTTTCGTAATCAAATAATTGTAAATTGCAATTGAATAATAATTAAGTTTATTTCATTATAGTAAATATTAAATACCAACCAAAAGATGCCGTTTTTCTAGGTATTATAAATATGTTTGGTACAAGGAATATAAATATTTTAAGGATGTTAAAAAAAATGTTATTTGTAAATCTTAAAATAAATAATTTGGGATAGTAAATTGTAGCTTGTTTTATACCACGTGCGACAAATTTCTTCGGGTTTATATTATAATACACGGGTATAGATTTATATATATTTTACATACATTCACATATGTATGTGTATGTAATTATGTGCAGATTTCATCAAACGTGAAAAATTATAAAACTAGGTGAACTTTTTTCACCAAATATGACGTAAAAGAGAACGTAATCACCGACAAAATACATAGATATTACGCTTTTGCACAATTTCGATCGGATAGTTTGAAATTAATTGTGAAACTATTTCATTAAAACAAATAATCATTAAGTTCAAAATAAAGTTAGATTAAATTAGAATTAGTGATGGTGGTAGGTGAATTTCCACCAAGTTTCTAGATTATTAATCAATTAAAAAAAGCCAAAATCAAATTTAGTAAGACGTTCAAAGGCATGAATGACGGATTGACGTTGACTTTGATTATTAATGTGTATAAATAATTATCTAATTTGGATGATTTTTTGTTTTTTAAAACTATAGAACCCAGAACATCGAACTGCAAAATGTCGATATTTTGTATGGTTAGTCGACATTTGATGATCAATTTTATGGGTAAATTATTGACATGTCGATTTTTCTCTAATTTTTTCGACATTATTGTCGATGTTTAATTGCGTTTTTTTTTTCTTTTGGCAATATAATCGACACGTACATGTCGACTTTTGCAACAAAAATCGACATACACATGTCAATTCTGGTTCTCGCGGAATTTCTTTTAAACGAACAAAAATGGTCACCTAGCTAAAACACACACACATCAATACATACTCCCATGAGTTATTCAACCGTAAAATCTCTCAATTTGAATAAGGGCATTATAGTAATTTTACATTGATAATTCTAATTTGATCTTGCCTTTAATTGAATTAGTATTTCAAAGGTCTTATTACTATTGTTGCTATAAAACTACTACTAATCTATTATTATTATTATTATTATTATTATTATTATTATTATTATTATTATTGTAGTAGTAAAAAGTCAACATTGACTAAGTAATGATTTACCTTTTCTTTTTTTTAGTCCTTTCGTGGTCTAAGGTTTTACAAGTATTGTGCGATTATTTGGGAATTGTATGAAAGGATTGACTAATCAACACATGATAAAGTATATTAAATATTTCTTGACTTTGACTTTTCTTGTTTTGTATACATACATGTATTTGTATGTACGTATTTAGGGAGGCAGAAAGTAGAAATTGGTGGCTAGTCAACCCAACGCGTGTAGGAAAAGTAAAATAGATCTATTGTGGGTAGGTCTTTTTGCCAATTCTCGACGTCAATTTTAGTTATGTACAGTAAAATCTCGATAAATTAATACCTGATAAATTAATAATGTATTTGAAAATATTTTTCTCGGTCTTAACTTGGGAACAATGTGATAAATTTATAAGATAATACACACTTTGAAAAATTTAAGAAGCCTCATATAATATATAGATTAATAGTGCATAAAAATATTTTATAGATCTACGAAGGCTTGACAAAATATGTTTTCATTGCCGTTGTTTCTTGTTGAAGTTCACATTACTGTCAATAACGTCTCATTTCTAATATAGTTTTCTCATAATTCAACAAAAAAGTTGTTCAATATCATTGCTGCTTTAAGAGCTTTCGTTCGAGAAACGAACTCTAAAGTACTTTGAACTAATGATACAATAAATGATATATATGTAAACACATTTAAAAAATATATTTTTTTTGAAAATATAATAAAAATAATTTTATAAATTAATAAGTTATTAATAAATGTAAATTAATAATTATTATTTATCGATGAGTTAATATTTCGCTAAATTAATAGGATTTTAATAGTGCCTAACTATATTAATTTACAGAGATTTAACTGCACCTGCATATCACGTGTGTGTGTGTGTGTGTATATATATATATATATATATATATATATATTGGTTTGGCTTTTGAGGAGTTTTAAGGTTGGGATTTATTTTTATGGTGTGGGAGAGTTTCTTACTTTTTTTTTTATTGTTAAAAAATTAATTATAAGTAGTATATTTTAAATTTTAAATTATTTTCCAACCCTAAAAAAATTTCAATTTCAATTTTGGCACAAAAAATATAGTTTTACGTTACTTGTTAACGGGCATGTAACGGCCGGGACCAAATGTGTTTAAAATTGAACTTTGTAGACCTTGGAACAATGGGGACCAAAAGTGGGATTAGGCCAAACATCAGGGACCAAAAGTGTAATTCTCCCTCGAAAATGTCATCTTTATTTTTTTAATTAAGTTATTAATTATAAAAGATATTACACAAAGTTCGGCCCATTTAATATTAAGACCAATCCAGAATTAAATAGAACAGCCCGATAGCCCATATAGATAAAAATATATGAACTTGGAGGGAAAATTTCAATCTTTGCATATGGAGGAGTAATTCATAAATCTCCCTTCCTCCTTTGTTTTCATTCAATTCATTCATCGATTTTTGCAGAAAATTTCTAAATCGTTGTTCTCCATTCATGAAGTTATTGCGCTTCAATCCTTTCGTTCGTATTAATTACACTGAATTGTTTGTAATATGACCGATTCTTCAGATTCTTCTTTTTCTTTCCAGAACAATTTACAGCCGGAATTCAAATTTCCGGCACCGGCGCAGAGCAAACCCAGGAGAAACACTGTTAAGGAAGCAATTTTGCATATCAAGACGCTCGGCCGCCCCTTAATTTCAAGTTGTAACGGTCAAATTCTCGAATCCCTAATTTTGAAACCCTATAAACCCTACACAATTGGCCGCAAATTGAAGGCGTGCCATTTTATTTTTACTGACCGTAGAGTAAGCAGGAGGCATTGCCAGCTGTGTTTCGATTCGTTAGAGAATAAGATTTATTTTTCGGATGGGTTGTTACTCGGTTACAGTGGATGTAATGATCGTTCTTCTAGTTCTAGGGCTTTGGTTTCGACGAATGGGGCTTTTGTTAATGGGGTTAGGATTAGTGGAGTTGTTGAGTTACGAGTTGGTGATGTGGTTTCGCTTGTTTGCGTCGATGAAGAAGCTTGCGGGTCGGGGGCTAGCATCGGTTTTGTGGTGGAAAAAGCTGTTTTTGTGGAGGAGGTTGATAATAGAAGTTTGATTCGATTTAATTCGTGTACTGTACATCGAGAACGGAATAGTTCTGTATTTAAATGTCGCAGAGTATTAGATAATACGAGTGTGCTTGTGAGTTGGTGTAGAGATATAATATGTAACGACGACCCTATATCGTATATACAGAAGGGTATTGTTCTCAATAGGAAAAATGGGATTGATCTTTCTTTTAGAAACGAACTTAAGAAGTGTTGCGGGTTGTTTTCGGATAATGACTTTGAATTTTGTTCCAATACCGAGCTTCAAATTGGATGTCGTAACCGTAAAAGGGTGTACTCGAGGGAGGTTGAAGCTGTTGAAAAATGTGACGGCAAATCCCTGAAAGAGATTATAGCGGTCTCTGAGGAGAACGCCGAACGTTCTAACATTGTCGATGCTGCTAATGCTGACACGGAAAGGCAAATGAAAATTGATGTTGTTGATATTCCACACAATGCAGTTGCGAGTGGTGATTCTACTGGTTTGTCTGTGGGAAGGCGGGATTCTTTTCCATGTAGAGAGTTCTTGGACGACAAGAACTGTGGTGGTTGTGTGCCACCTGGAAAGAAATTTTATTTGAATCGTCTTCCGTTTAGGGGTCAAGACACAGACGAGACGAACGATGTTGTTTCACTGCCGGAGCTTTTTCATCCCATCGAGAACCTCAAGCGGGTATTTATTGCAACATTTACTAGCGATATATTATGGTAAGCACAAATAGAAAGCCATTAGGTTTTGTTGTGCACTTTTGTCTCATTCTGCAATATTATCGATCTCTCTTTAATTCTTAGTGTTGTTCATATTATAGTATATAGATAGTTTTTTTTTGGGCTATATGCACGATCATTTAATTTCAGCGCATGTTGTGTATAGGTTCCTAACTTACTGCAAGATTCCTCCTCAACTACCAGTGACAATTGCGTGTCACAGTGCTGAAAGGTGTTGGAGTTTAGACCCTGATAAACGAACATCAGTTCCATTCTCGGACTTTCCAAACTTAACTGTGGTGTAAGTTACATATTCGATCTGTAAGATCTGCAATTGCTGCCGCATGATATTATCTAACGTATCGATTCATAAATAATAGGTATCCTCCATTTCCTGAAGCTATAGCTTTTAATAACGATCGGAAGAACTCAGGCATTGCTTGCCATCATCCAAAGCTATTTGTGTTGCAAAGAGAAGATAGACTACGCATTGTTGTCACATCTGCGAATTTAGTCGAAAAACAGGTTCTCGTTTTATTCTCGACACATTTGTTTTTTCTACAATTAGTGGGAAGCTTATGCAGTTTTTGTGTATCGTACTCACAGTTAATGATTCAAGAATCTAAACGAAGCAATTGAATCTTAAATTGTAATTCATTGAAGATATAAGGTCAAATCCAAGAAAAATATAAATAGTTGTGTCGAGGATGTGATACTGAAATTTTATCATAGGGACTCTGTACTTTTCAAGAAAGCTTCTCCACCTGGATTATCTTAGTTTGACCATATCTTTGACTTTCTGCAGTGGCATAGTGTAACCAATACAGTCTGGTGGCAGGACTTCCCACGTATAAATATTCCCAATTGTTCATCGCTTTTCACCCAATTATCTTTTGGGGAAATCAATATAGATTCAAAATGTGATTTTGCTGCTCAATTGGCCGGGTTTATGGCGTCTCTAGTAGTTGATGTGCCTAGCCAGGCCCACTGGATCACGGAGTTGACCAAATACGATTTCGAAGGAGCTACTGGATATTTAGTTGCTTCTGTACCAGGAATTCATTCTCGTAGAAGTTCTTATCTATACGATTCAAAATATCACTTGGTGGTAAGTATCTGCACGTATTATTTGCTTTCTTGTCGAAGCGGTGTTTTAGAATATAATTTATTTTTATTCTTTTGTGCGTTGAATATGTGATTCATTTCTTATACTAGGGGGGTAGCAGACACGAGCTAGAGTCATCCGGTACAAAATTTCTCTCTTCTGTCGAAGCATCTGTAGTTGGTTTAAGCCATATTTTTCGTGTGTCAGCGGATTCTAACGGAGAGCATTTGAAGAGGTTGGCATTGTTTCTTGGAAAATGTCGTGAGAACATGGATGGGATGTCAGAGGTTGTTTTGAGGAGAGAGACGAATATACCAGCTGACGGGAATGCAGTGAGCGTGCTTATTCCTAACCCGGAAGACTTTTCTCCCGGAGGTAAAATTTTATACTTGTACTTTTAGTTAAGGTAGCTAGAAATTCATGAAATTTCAGTTAGGGTAAATTACGGCCACCCCCTGAGGTAACTTCAAATTACGGAAAACCCCCTCCTTTTTGGGTAATTACAACCACCCCCAACTATGAATCTTCTTACATGTCCACCCTTGTGGTGTAAAATTTAGTGGAATCTTCTAGATTATGTGGAATATTCTCCGTAAGTGGCCTGGTCTGGCAGTTAAGGCCCAAACCAGACACTTCTTTCGGTAATTATGCCGTGTGACTTTCTACCTTTTTCTTGCTCTAGATTTTGTTCAACTTGGGTTTCTACCAAAGGATATTGCAAAATGGGTGGCTCCACTTTCCGATATCGGACTTTTTGCATTTTCTGCGTATATTCATCCTAAGGAAGTCCTTGCAACTGCTTTAGAAGGAAGCAGCAAGAAAGTAAAACTGATTCTTTATGTGTATGCGGTATGATTGTAATTCTTAATCTGGACTCATCTATCATTATTTTTCTGAAGAACTTAGAATTACTTTTTCCTCCCCGAAGCATGTTGATTAGTAATTTGCCGATGGTTTTTTATCATTATTTTTTTTGCAGGGCCCTTCCTTTTCTACTATATCGGAAGTTACAGAACTTGAATATGTTACCGCAATATGCTCCCTTGTTGCATCGAGTCAGAGATGTGCAGGGCTGTGGCGCCTTAAGGAGGTAAACAACCGAACACTTGCGTGTTGCTGTGTGATTTTTTAAACTTTTTCATGCAATGAAGCCTTGGTGGCACTGTTGGTATATTGCATTAGAGCAGGATATATACTTCTGATTTTTCTCACTTCTGTTTGTCCCAAAGGTTTTAGGTCAGTACAAGTGGCCTGAACATTTGGAATCGGACTTCTTTTTTGGTGAGTATATTCTATATAGTCTCGAGTAATTTTTATGCATTTTCGAGATGAAATGTACTTACTATGGTTTCAATTATTTATTTTCCTTTCCTTTCTTTATGAAGGTTCATCCTCGGTCGGATGCGTAAACGCACAATTTCTTGCTGCATTTTCCGCAGCAGCAGGAAAAAAATCAGTACCATTTTCCGATTCTGAAGAATCGGATCCAGATGTGAGACGATTAAAATTAGTAAAATTGCACCTTTTACGGTATTGACTTTTCATTGACTGGTTTTGGTCTTGCTTCTGCTAGTGGGGCTGTTGGAGTGCCAGCCAAGAGTTAAAAAACCCTTCTGTCCGGATTATTTTCCCCAGCATCGAGACAGTGAAAAACAACAGAAACGGAATTATGGCTTCGAGGCGCATGTTGTGCTTCTCTCAGGTAATGAAACCAAATTCAGAGTACTTATTTTCTAATTCATACTTTCCGGACCTTGAATTCGGTTTACGTTCCTAGGAAAATGTTGACATACTGAACGTAACTACTTTTACAGAAAACATGGCAGAGGCTGGAAAATGTCGGCATACTCCATGATGCAATTCCTTATCCAAGTGGCAGGGTTGGTATCCCTATGCATGTCAAGGTACTCTCTCTCTCTCTCTCTCTCTCTCTCTCTCTCTCTCTCTCTCTCTCTCTCTCTCTCTCTATATATATATATATATATATATATATATATATATATATATATATATATA